TAATGAAAATGATTTTGACATTTGTATTGGTTCTGCAATATATGTGGAACCGATGCCAATCAGCCAATCCTGTCTCCCAAACGCCGCTTATTTGCAAAAAGGTATTAATTATGCTTTTATTACAATCAATGAATTAATAGTAACTGTGATCAACAGATGGATTGATGGAAATCCGTGCCATGACGTCGATAGCCATCGGCGAAGAGATCACCATTTCATCGATTCCGTTGCATATGAATCGTATCGAAAGACAACGGATACTGAATTTCGCTTTAATTGTCTGTCATTGCGATAAATGTAGACTACATTTGGATAAAGATATCGATTATCAAGAATTTTGGGAACTCCTTCGCAAACATGAGAAACAATGGAAGACTTATAAGGCTTTGAATTTTGTTCACATGAACTTCAACTACGAAATGGACTCTAATTTTATGGCATATTTGGAGTCAATTTATGGCGAGTTTCATCCGTCGGTCACATTCTTCCTCTTGTGTTCGTTCATATGTTTCGCAAACAATTCATCCAATCATTCATTGATAAAACTTTGGTTCAAACGTATTGAACGGCACGTATTGGTCACCCATGGATCAGACCATCCCTGCTATGCAATGCTTCGCAAACAATTTGATAAATCATTGAATTTTAATTGTTTTTAAGTATTTTGTAATTTTAAGTTCGACTTAAGTCTTAACAAATGCTAAAAACAATTTATTTCCTTTCAAACAATATTTGTATTACAAAGCGATTGTTAAATAAAATTTCAATTTGTTGTCAATTAATTATAAAAATGTCAAAAAAATTTGCGTCAATTATTATAGTGATTAAAACAATTATTGTACAAACATTATATTTGTTTATATATAATTGAATTGTATAACAAAAATGAGATATTTCTCTATAATTAGTTTTAATGATATGCTTAACAATATTATAATACCATAATATCTCAGTTTGATATCAGGAAACAATTATTCATACAATTTATAAGTTATATGATTTAATCGACACTTCTGTACAGTATATGATATAAAAGTATAATTTATTGTATATAAATCTTTTAAAACAAACATTATTTGTAGTGTTAGACAAAGAGATTACAAAAGTTTTCAAAAATTGTCACAAAAAAATATTCAAAGAGAGACAAAATGACAGTCATATCATCGAAACCATATATCGCTGGAGACGTGATCTTCAATTTCAATCCATTGATATCTTGTGTTAAACACGAATACAAAGGAAAACTTTGCGACAATTGTCTCAAACCTATGGATCAGTTGAAGAGATGTGCAAAATGTCTTCAAATGTATTATTGCGGCAAAAATTGTCAGACAATCGACTGGTCTTTCCATAAGAATGAATGCAAAGCCTTCAGAGGGAAGACAATCAGTGATTTCGACTCTTTATTTTTGCTAACACTTCGACTCTATCTTCGGATCAAAAATGACAAAACATTTGCGACCGAAAGACACACTTTTATTGACGGATCAGATGTTTGTCTCAATGATATCAAAGTCAATGTGAAGAGTAGTTCATTTGCTAAAAGTTTGGTTTACTTATCGATTAGCAAACAATTTAGAAGTTTAGGCATTGATTTTGAGGCCAAAACTCTTCATCGATGTTATGACTTAATGTCTGAAAACAACTACAGTCTCGTCAATAACAGCAGTAATCCAATGGATTTCGACTCTCTTATTGGTTCTTCAATATGTCTTGAGTTGTGGCCAATAAGTCATTCCTGTCTCCCAAACACGGCGTTTGTCCGCAAAGGTATCTTTGAATTATATTTGTGTTTATAATTAATTAATTAGTGATAAATCATAAACAGATGAGTGGATTGAAATCCGAGCCATGAAGTCTATAGCCATTGGCGAAGAGATAACAATGGCTTTGATTGCATTGTATATGAATGGCGTTGAAAGACGTGAACAATTGAAAATGTTTGGATCGGTTTGTAATTGTGATAAATGTAGACTACATTTGGATAAAGATATCGATTATCAACACTTCGATCGACTTCTGGATAAAGAGACCATACATTGGAACTCTTCTAAATGCGAATGTCTTCGTCACCTGAACTTCACGTACGAAATGGACTCCAATTTCGCGTTATATTTGGAGACAATTTATGGAGGCTTTCATCCAATTGTATCTGAATTCCTGTTGAAGTCATTTATATGTTTCGCAAATTCAATGAAAACAAGTCCTTCATTACTGAATGTGTGGTTCAAACGTATTGAACGGCACGTATTGGTCACCCATGGATCAGACCATCCCTGGTATGCAATGCTTTGCAACCAAATGTTTGAATTATTGTAAATTTAATTACAATATAAATATGTGTTGTTTTAATATAAATGTAATTCAATGTTTAATACGATAGTAATTGTAATTTTTATTAAATAAAATTACTTTTAATTGTGTTATACATAGCGTTGCCAAATAATATTTTGAAAATCCTGTATAAATGTTAGAAAATTGCCAAAATTTCCTGTATTTTCCTGTATTACAGCTTATTTTCAAAATGTTTATTCCTGTATTCTTCAATGAACATGAAAATTTCTTCCTGTATTCTGTGAAAATTCCTGTATAATACAGGAAGTTCCTGTATGTTTGGCAACGCTAGTTATACATGTATATTTTTAATATATTAAAAGTTGGCATCAATTGTGTGGATAGAAATATAGAGGTAGAAACTGTTCACATTCTATGTGTCTATTAATAGTACATTGAAATCATTAAATACTGTTTATTACAACATGTTATGCATTGTAAGCACTACTTACAGCTGTACTGATGCTGTGATTCATTGCCTAAACATTTTAACCTAACCTAACAGTAATGTATGAATGCATTCAATATAAACATGTGTTACGAAAGGGTTGGCAACCAATAGTCAATTGAACCACACTTTCGGCCATTTGATAGTTGAGACCAAATTCTGCTCAAGACATGTCCGCACAGATCGCTGTCAACACATCCAAAGGCTTCAGTGCCGGCGATGTTATCATTCAAACCAAACCAATGGTTCACATCATTTGCAATGAATTCAAAGGTCTGTTTTGCGACAATTGTCTCAAACGTGAGGATCAACTGAGACGATGCCTGAAATGTCTTCAGATGTATTACTGCGGCAAAATGTGTCAGATGAATGACTGGAAGTACCACAAGAATGAATGCAAAGTCTTGAGACACACCGACTTCCATAGGGAACTGTTCTCATCCGAAGAGATACTATTACTTCGTCTCTATCTTAGCCTCAAGTCTGACGAGTCGTTCGCTACCAAAAGATATAAATTGATGGATGGATCAGATGTTTGTCTCAAAGAAATCATCGTTGAAAAGGATACCATGTATTCCGATTGCGAGCGAATGCTTGAGTTTAACAGAGTTTGCATGTGTTTCAATGCATTTGGGATCAAATTGAGTGACTTTCAAAAAAGACATGAGCTTTTCAATTGGTTCGCATTCTTGTCCAGCAGCCCATCACATGTGGGACTCAAATGGTATTCAAGAGATATGAAAGACTGTCAGTATTTCTCTGATAAAGTTTGTCGAGCGGTCTCTCTGGAGATGTCATCTCTTAACCACTCATGTCTTCCCAATTCAGCGATTGTTACAAATGGTAAGACATTGTCATATCAGTTGTCATATTCTCACAACTCTTTGGCAGGACTTTCGGTTCAATTGCGAGCCCTTAAGGAGATCCCAATCGGCGAAGAAATCACTGTTAGTTTCATACGTTTGGATAAATCAAAGAGTGACAGAAGAGAGGCTCTGAAGAATGATTTCTATGTGTTTGACTGCAAATGCTTGAAATGTGAGCTCAATCTGGACTCAGGAATCGATTACAACGCTTTCGATGAGTTGATCGCCGAAGAGATACTCAACTTCGTTGACAAGAGAAGAATTGATCCAAACTCGTGGTCAGAATACGACTCTCTCAGTTCAAAACTGATTCCCTATTATGAGGCAATTTATGGCAATTATCACCCCTTCTTAACGGCAACTCTTATGCAACAATCGATGACTTCTCGTATGTCAGCTATGATTGCGTCGGAACCGGCCTTCAAGTGGAAGCCAATGCTTTTGGATTACTATAAGACAGTGGATCAGCACTTGAGGATCACTCACGGCGTCGATCACCCGTTGTTTGACATTTTTTATAAACTTTTTGTCAAAATATAGACTTAATCTATAATTACTTATTGGGAAGTGATTTGCATTATTAATTTGCAGATATGATTATTTTTATCATTAATATTGTGTGAGTTGTTGTCATAAAGTTATAGATTTTTGTTCGTAAAAGTTATATAAAATAATAATCAATAAAAATTAATAATAATTTTCAGCACAAATGTGTGAATTGTACGTAAAAGTCGGCGAAAACAAGTCCTTCATTACTGAATGTGTGGTTCAAACGTATTGAACGGCACGTATTGGTCACCCATGGATCAGACCATCCCTGGTATGCATTGCTTTGCAACCACTTTTCTGAATCATTGAATGTGGTCATAAATTTAATTCAATGTTTAATACGATAATAGTAATTGTATTCTACATTCTACAAGTACATAATAACCTACAATATTGGTCATTTAAAAATTATTTACCATAATAATATATCATAACATTGAAATCATTAAATACTGGATTACAACATGTTATGCACTACTTATAGACTACAACTGTACTGAAGATGCGATTCATAGCCTAAACATTAGACCCAAATGTGTGAATGCATTCAATATAAACATGTGTTACGAAAGGGTTGGTAACCAATTGAACCACACTTTCAGACCAATTGATAGTTGAGACCAAACTCTGCTGAAGACATGTCCGCACAGATCGCTGTCAACACATCCAAAGGCTTGAGTGCCGGCGATGTTAGCATTGAAACCAAACCAATGGTTCACATCATTTGCAATGAAATCTATGTGAAATAATTGTATATAAATTATTTGTATTGGATTTAACTAATTAAGCATGTTAAGATTACGTATACATCGGGTGCCAGTTACAATTAAAATATGTTTATTTGTTTTCTGTGTAATACAGTTAATAATGTTGTGCACGTATTTCTACTCAATCAGCACTGAATGCCAAATAATACCGATTAATATAGTGTTGAGAGAGAATAGTAACACAAATGTTGTGCCAAAAGTAGCGCCGGATAGCGAATGGAGTGAATTGATTGCTAATAGAGTTGCCATTTATTCGGCATTTTTGACCGAAGAATCGGTGGTCAGAATCACATCACTTGTCGACCAGGAATGCGGACTCATAGCAGTCGACTGTCACTTCAGGGAACACACCTCGAGTAGAGTGATCCACAGCACTCACGCCACTGTGAAAGTACTAGTGGGTCACTATAGGGGTCGACTCAAATACGCCGCCTCACAAATCCAGTGCCAACTGCCCCGAGAGTACCACTCGTTCGCACATTACGTGACAATCGACTTACCAGACTTCGGCTCTACCGGGCGTACGATTAAAGTACGCAAAAGTGACTCATATAAGAACCCGTCCAACGATTTGCGTACTGTGATGTGCGTGATGCCCCTGTACAACACAGGTGACATGATCGCTAACTTGGTTGAGTTCATGGCCTACTATACGGCCAACGGTATCGAGCGATACGTGTTTTACGACTGGGATTCTGACCCACGTTTCCGGTCACTCGTATTGAGTATGAATTTTACTCAAATATTGCCGTTTAAAATGCCAATCGATGGCCTGACTATACACTCCTGGGGACAGATGGCCAGTACTAACGACTGCCTACTCCGGCATTCAAATTCGCCCGTAATATTGGTAGACATGGATGAGTTCATTGTTGTCCGGAAGAGTACGTCTCCTGACAATAGCCGCACAATTCAATCATTAATTGTGCGCGAAATGAGAGACCCGTCCGTATCGTCACTGTTGGTCAACAACCGATTCCTGTGCCGCGAATATCAGATCCGACACACGTTTCCACGCATTTTAAGCCACACTCGGCTCCAGTCCTACCCCTGGAGTCCGAATTTGAGGTCAAAGGTCATTGTACTTCGACCTAACCGTGTGATCGATGTATGGGTACATGCAGTGTATATGAGTGTAGAGGGCTTTCACATGAAGGTAATGCCCGACACGGATGTACTGATGTATCACTACCGGTGTTGTCGGGGTATGAACCAAGTGTGGCTCGTATGGGGTCATTACGTTCTGTTATATTTCTATTCGGTGAGGGATCAGTTCACTGATGATAAGGCTATGACAGCGTTTGAAACGCCGATCAACCGGTTTATCGCACAATATGTTCACTTATAAATTGAATATAAATATAATTTATTAATTATAGTTTAATTAGTGTTCATCTTATCGGCTCTTCACTCAGTTTTTAGAACCGGTCTTCGAGTGGAAGCCAATGCTTTTGGATTACTATAAGACAGTGGATCAGCACTTGAGGATCACTCACGGCGTCGATCACCCGTTGTTTGACATTTTTTATAAACTTTTTGTCAAAATATAGACTTTTATTACTTAATCTATCATTTCATTACTCAATGATTACTAATTAAGACTAAACTAAAACGAAAACTAACTGTAACTACAAAATAACGTATTGTTTAATTTGCTTATTATTTGTTTATTAGATTGCATTTTAATATTATCTCGTTTTAAACTATATAATTGTTTTACAAATCATTTCAATGATTGGTTTGAAAATTACAAATAATTGTATCATTTATTGGATTTATTATAAAAATGGAAAATTTTGTTATTAATTTTCAAATATTATTATTTTTATCATTAATATTGTGTGAGTTGTTGTCATAAAGTTATAGATTTTTGTTCGTAAAAGTTATATAAAATAATAATCAATAAAATTAATACTAATTTTCAGCACAAATGAGTGGATTGTATGTAGAAGTCGGCGATTATCCGAAGTATAAGGATTACGGGATTAACGACGAGAACTGTGGCCTCAGATTCATTGCCGAAAAGTTGAACATAACATACGACACAACCAAATGCTTTCATAACAAGTATGAGATGAGACAAGTGAGTGATAGGTATGGCCCGCACTATCCCAACAAACAGGATCTGTTGACCAGTCGTGTTACTATGGGTAGGGACGCCTTATACAGCGAAGCACCATGGACAGTTTACTTGGATGTGCATGTATATTATTTTTTCCCGGACACAGCGTGTAGTGAAGTACTGATAACCGAGTTATGGGTCCTGACGGCCGCCCATTGTTTTGATAAGTAATGATATATTCATTAGTTTTAAGTGAATAAATATTAATTGCTATTATAATTAGTGGTTTAGACCGAAGAGTGCTCATAAGGGCCGGCAATACGCAAACCACTGGTATAGACGAAGCGACTAAGAATCGGGTGATTCTATACGATGGGTACAATAAATCCAATTTGCCACTTTACGATGTGGCCATGGTCAAATTGGTGACACCACTCAAACGGGCCAATGATAGCAGACACTACACTATAAACCCGATATGTCTGCCAAATAGGAATCAATTGAATGGCAACAAAGAGTGGGTCACTATTTATGGCTTCGGAATCGTTGACCAGAAGAAGGCGACCACAAAACCATGGCTTCAAAAGGGAGACATTCTATTGGAAGCGTCCAGTGATTGCATACATGTAAACAAGTGGAACGGTATCCTATGTTCATGGGTTGCCAATTCACCCTCGGGCACTTGCAAAGTATGTCCAATCATTAGAATTCAGTTTTAAATATTGTTTTAATTTATTAAATTAATTGTAATTTTTCTTATTGAATAAAAGGGTGATTCGGGCGCCGGTTTGGTTCAGTACACCGACAAATATAACACTAAAGCTATACTCGTGTCCACACATTCGAGTGGTACCCGATATGAAGACGTGAACAACCCGTGCACTGAAGTAATGATGTTTTCGATCTCCACTTCATTGATTGTGGACTGGATTTTGGATACAATTAAAAACAATACTAAATTAAATTAGAAATTTTAATTGGGTAAATTATGTTTTTGTAATTTACTATTTTATTGCATTACTATTTGTAAAGTAATTTGATTTTGTTAAATAAAAATTAAAAACGTTTGTTAATTAAATGCATTTTTCATATTTAAATATTTTAATAAAATTCAGTATTACAAGAGTTAATGCATAACATTATTAAGATAAAAATGTCACTTAATATATGAATGGTATAAACTGTAAAATAAAGGGCACTTTACAAGCGTTGCACTGTAAGCACTTTGCAGTGAAAGTGTTGTGTTAATTGTTTTTATTTTTTACGTTTAATTCAGTATTGATTGTGTGCTAATCGTGTCGTGAAATGGATGCAAATCTGTTGGAGGATCAGCTTCTGTGCGGTCAGCGGTGGTCGAGAGATGACATGTTGGGTGCGATGGGTGTTGTTGTGGGTGCGGATGACGGCAGGTGTGCGGAGAGTCGACCCTTCACTCCCACCAAAAGCAACAAAAGGAAGCCTTCGGTGGCCAACGAGAACTGGTCTGTGAAGCAATTGATGAGAGAAACCACATCACAGGTAATGTGTATTAAATGTCTAACAATAATAATAATTGTGTTTTATTAACACTACAGTCAATCACACGACCCGATGCTCTGCCTAACAATGAACAATAATTTGTTTCACATTTGTTTCTATCAATCACATTTGAGCTGCAATTCACATAGTATTACCGGTTTATTTATACGGATAAATACAGTAATTGAAAATAACGTTAAAACTCATTCAATAATGTTTACCATTTAGTCATACAATTAGTGTTTTCATTATTAAAATCTACATCAAATATCTATTTTGCACTATTTTTATGTCTCAATTTTAATGTTATTTCCTATGACTAAACCCACTGTTTGTACAAAAATACATATACAAAAGTGAATCTTTATCTGGCAATAACAATGACCATTAATAGACTATTAATAATAGTATATTCTTCGAACTCATTATTACAAAATCTATAACTTTTTTATTCAATGAAAATTAATAGTGTTTTACTAATTGAAAACACAATAAAAATAATATATTGTTTAATTTGCTTATTAGTATAATTATTGTTACATTTAATTTTATTATTGTCTCGTTTTAAGTCATTTCAATGATTGGTTTGAAAATTACAAATAATTGTATCATTTATTGGATTTATTATAAAAATGGGAAATTTTGTTATTATTTTCCAAATATTATTTGTATCATTAATATTCTGTGAGTTATTTTTATAATTACTAACTTTTTGTTCATAAAATTTATATAAAATACTAATTGATTATTAGTTTATTATTAATTATTAAATAATCAATAAAATGAATACTAATTTTCAGCACAAATGAGTGGACAGTAAGTAAAAGTAGGCGATTATCCGCAATATACTAAAGATTACGGCATTAACGACGAGAACTGTGGCCTCAAATTTATTCCCGAAAAGTTGAACATAACATACGACACAACGAAATGCTTTCATAACAAGTATGACATGAGACAAGTGAATGATATGTATGGCCCACACTATGACGACAAAGTGGATGAGTTGACCAGTCGTGTGGCTTATGGTACAAATGCCTTGTACAGTGAGGCACCATGGTCCATGGACAGTTTACTTGCATATCGATGCGGTATATATTTTTCCGGTCGTGAAGTGCAGTGGAGTATTGATTACATTTAAATGGTTCTTAACGGCCGCCCATTGTTTCGATAGGTATTGAAATTGATTAAAAATATTTGCTTCAAATGATTAAATACTTTTGACAAACAGTGGTTTTCTTCATGGAGTGGTCGCAAAGGTCGGGAACACACAAAAGTCAGGCAGTGATAGCCGAGCGGACGATCTGATTGTTTTGCACGAAAGCTATAACGCATCGGACAATAGCCCTCTTTGGGACGTGGCTTTGATCCGACTTAAGACACCATTAAAGCGAACCAATGATAGCAGACATTACACTATAAACACTATATGCTTACCAAATAGGAATCAATTGAACCAAAACCAAGAGTTGGTCACAATCTTTGGTTACGGAAAAGTAGATGAGAAGACGGGAGATGTCAAGGATTGGCTTCAAAAGGGAGAGATTGTGTTACAACCCTATCATAACTGTCTGTGGACTCAATGGGACGGCATTTTGTGCTCATTTTATTCTGAATCTAAACTCGCGATGCCATTTATAAGAACTAATTTAGCGAACATTTTATAAAGAAATGAATGTAATTATTATTTGTTATCAATTGTGTTATAAATATACAGTATATATATTGAAGAGTTTTGATATTTTTATAAATAAAATAATTAAAAATCAATTTTAAAGTGTAATTCAATTTATTTCAAACACAATATGAATAGAAATACTGATAAATACAAGAGATTCTTATATCGGAATATATTTTTGTGATTATATATTAAAGAATATGTGGTTATAATAGATAGGATGACATCTGTTATGTCACAATCAAAGTCTATATTCTTTTCCAATTACTATAATATGTAATATAATTGTAATTAAAAGTTATCATTAATTGTTTCATAAAAAACATTTAGGAATTTAATATAACATAATTAGAGAAAGATTACAATTTCTTAAATTTTCAATGATTTGTCAAATTGGTTGCGAAGCATCGCATACCAGGGATAGTCTGATCCATGGGTGACCAATACGTGCCGTTCAATACGTTTGAACCAAAGTGTGAGCAATGAATGGCTGGCTTTCTTTGAATTTGCGAAATATATAAATGACTGCAAGAGTAAGAGAGTGACCGTCGGATGAAACTCGCCATACATTGCCTCCAAATATTCAATGAAATTGGAGTCCATTTCGAACGATAAGTTCACGGAATCGAAAGCTTGATACTGACGTTGAAACCCAAACCTAAAACCATTCCAGAGAAACGTGTGTTTCTTCAAGAGTTCACCAAATTCTTCATAATCCATGTCTTTATCCAAATGTAGTCTACATTTGTCACAATTGCAGACACTGTGAGACTCACTCAATAATTGGCGTCTTTTATCGCGATTCCAATGCAACGGAATCCAAGTCCGGGTCAACTCTTCGCCGACGGCTATGGACTTCATGGCTCGGATTTCCAACAATCCATCTGTTGATCACATTTACCATTAATTCATTAATTGTAATCAAATCTAATCTCATATATAACATACCTCTGCAAATCATTGCCGTGTTTGGGACACATGAATGACTGATTGGCCACAACTCGGGACAGACGGCACCGCCGATAGCAACGGCAAAACTAATTGGATTATCGCTTTCACGGGACATATTGTCAGTGTTTTTTAATACCAATTTAAACCATCGATTGAGTTCTTCGGCCTTAAAATCAATGCCAATACTCTTGAATTGTCCACAAATAAGCATTACGTCCTCTGAAATACACCTGACATTGACTGCGATATTCATATCATTGAGACAAACATCTGATCCGTCAATCAAAGTGTGTCTTTCGGTGGCAAATGTTTTGTCACTTTTGATCCGAAGATAGAGTCGAAGTAATGGTATAAAGATTGTGTGAAATCCATCGATTCTGTTCTCTCTGAAGACTTTGCATTCATTCTTATGGAAAGACCAGTCGATTGTCTGACAATTTTTGCCGCAATAATACATTTGACGACATTTTGAACACCTCTTCAACTGATCCGTGGGTTTGAGACAATTATCGCAATACTCTCCTTTGTATTTGTCTTGAATATAAACCAATAGTGGTTTGCATTTGAAGACAACGTCTCCAGCGATGTATGGTTTCGATGAAATGACAGGCATTTCGTCACTCTTTGGATCTCTTTTGTGACAATTTATTACCTCTTTTTGCGATCCCTTTGTCTCACAAAACGTGATTTTTCACTACAAATGCTATAATGACTACAATTTTGACACTGAATTGGTGTTGAAAATAGTGAGTCATTTGAACTCTATTTATAATACGGATCTCTGAACTCTTTAAACACTACATTCAATACGGATTGACTCATTGAAAAGTGGTTACAAAATGTGTACAAAATTGAGATTTCCTTTTCGTTTACTAATTGTTTTTTGTACTTTTCAGTCATTTATAGCTATAATATGGACCACAAATGCCTCAAACAAATCGATGGATTTATTATTTACTTTTTATTTGTAATTTTAATTTGTAAATGTATTAAACATTTTGTATTCATTTATAAGAAACATTTTATAAAGAAATGAATGTAATTATTATTTGTTATCAATTGTGTTATAAATATACAGTATATATATTGAAGAGTTTTGATATTTTTATAAATAAAATAATTTAAAATCAATTTTTAAGTGTAACTCAATTTATTTCAAACACAATATGAATAGAAATACTGATAAATACAAGAGATTCGTATATCGAGATATTCTTGCGATTATATACTGAAGAATATGTGGTTATAATAGAGAGGATGATATCTGTTATGTCACAATCAAAGTCTATATACTTTTACCATTACTATAATATGTTATATAATGATTATAATGTAATTAAAGTTATCATAAAAAACATTTAGGAATTTAATATAACATAATTAGAGAAAGATTACAATTTCTTAAAATTTCAATGATTTGTCGAATTGGTTGCGAAGCATTGCATACCAGGGATGGTCTGATCCATGGGTGACCAATACGTGCCGTTCAATACGTTTGAACCAAAGTGTGAGCAATGAATGGCTGGCTTTCATTGAATTTGCGAAACACATGAATGACTCCAACAAGAAATAAGTGACCGTCGGATTATACTCGCCATACATTGCCTCCAAATATATAATTAAATTGGAGTTCATTTCGTATTCGTGTCTACGAATAGCGGACTTAGAAAAGTTCCAATGACTCGTCTCTTTTAGTAAGATTAGATTAAATTCTTGATAATCGATATCTTTATCCAAATGTAGTCTACATTTATCACAATTACAGACACACAAAGTTTCATTTAAAGTCTTTTGCCTAACCGCATAATTGTTGAATAAATTAATCGACGCCATTGTTATCTCTTCGCCGATGGCTATGGACTTCATGGCACGGATTTCAAACCACTCGTCTGTTTATATCATTTAAAAATTAATTATTTCTAAACAAAAATATAATTCATTGATACCTTTGCGGACAATTGCTGTGTTTGGGAGACAGGAATGACTGATTGGCCACAACTCAAGACAAACTGCTTCGCCTATGACTATACGATAATCTATAAGATTATCGATATTTCTTTCGAGTTTATAAGTCGTGATAAACACTAATTTAAATAATTCAAAAAGTTCTGTGGCCTTAAAATCTACGCCTAAAGTCTTAAACTCTTGACAGAACTTATCAAACAAATCAATCCTTTTGCGCGGAATATCCGATACATTGACTTTGATATCATTGAAACAAACATCTGATCCGTCAAACAAAGCGTGTCTTTCGGTCGCAAATGTTTTGTCACTTTTGATCCGAAGATAGAGTCGAAGTAATATCATAACCAAAACGTGAGATTTGAGTGATTGTCAAATGCCTCAAGACTTTGCATTCATTCTTATGGAAAGACCAGTCGATTGACTGACAATTTCTGCTGCAATAATACCATTGACGACATTTTGAACACCTCTTCAACTGATCCGTAAGTTTGAGACAATTATCGCAATGTTTTCCTTTATGTTTGTCTCGAATACAAGTCAGCAATGGTTTGAATTTGAAGACAACGTCTCCAGCGATGTATGGTTTCGATGAAATGACAGGCATTTTGTCTCTCTTTGGATCTCTTTTGTGACAACTTTTTTGACACTTCTCCCGATCTCTTCGTCTAACAAATTTTGTTAAACAAAATAACAATAATAACAAAACGTGATTTTTATCACAAATGACGTCCGCTTTTATTAAATTTAATTTTGTCAAACATTTATTAAAGTTTTTAATCGTTTTTTATGATAAAATTTTCAATATTAAAATCAATCAATATTTACATTACTGTTAAAATATTATAATTCTGTACCAATTATTAAATATAAACAAATGATATATGAATGAAGTTATGGTTAAGTTTTATGTTTTTCAATCTTTTCAAATATCCAGTCAATGATCTTTGAGGTGGAGATGAAATACGAGGCCAAACCATCGCACGAGTTATCAGCCGTATAGCGAGCGCTACCACCAGATTCTGTGCCCACGAGTATAGCCTGAGTATTGTATTTGTCCGTATACTGCACTATACCGGCGCCAGAATCACCCTTTCAATGCATAGGCAACATAATTAAGTTAATTTATATGCATTTATAAACATGATCATAATATGGGTCACCTCACAGGGCATCGCGAGTTTAGATTCAGAATAAAATGAGCACAAAATGCCGTCCCATTGAGTCCACAGACAGTTATGATAGGGTTGTAACACAATCTCTCCCTTTTGAAGCCAATCCTTGACATCTCCCGTCTTCTCATCTACTTTTCCGTAACCAAAGATTGTGACCAACTCTTGGTTTTGGTTCAATTGATTCCTATTTGGTAATCATATAGTGTTTATAGTGTAATGTCTGCTATCATTGGTTCGCTTTAATGGTGTCTTAAGTCGGATCAAAGCCACGTCCCAAAGAGGGCTATTGTCCGATGCGTTATAGCTTTCGTGCAAAACAATCAGATCGTCCGCTCGGCTATCACTGCCTGACTTTTGTGTGTTCCCGACCTTTGCGACCACTCCATGAAGAAAACCACTGTTTGTCAAAAGTATTTAATCATTTGAAGCAAATATTTTTAATCAATTTCAATACCTATCGAAACAATGGGCGGCCGTTAAGAACCATTTAAATGTAATCAATACTCCACTGCACTTCACGACCGGAAAAATATATACCGCATCGATATGCAAGTAAACTGTCCATGGACCATGGTGCCTCACTGTACAAGGCATTTGTACCATAAGCCACACGACTGGTCAACTCATCCACTTTGTCGTCATAGTGTGGGCCATACATATCATTCACTTGTCTCATGTCATACTTGTTATGAAAGCATGTCGTTGTGTCGTATGTTATGTTCAACTTTTCGGGAATAAATTTGAGGCCACAGTTCTCGTCGTTAATGCCGTAATCTTTAGTATATTGCGGATAATCGCCTACTTTTACTTACTGTCCACTCATTTGTGCTGAAAATTAGTATTCATTTTATTGATTATTTAATAATTAATAATAAACTAATAATCAATTAGTATTTTATATAAATTTTATGAACAAAAAGTTAGTAATTATAAAAATAACTCACAGAATATTAATGATACAAATAATATTTGGAAAATAATAACAAAATTTCCCATTTTTATAATAAATCCAATAAATGATACAATTATTTGTAATTTTCAAACCAATCATTGAAATGACTTAAAACGAGACAATAATAAAATTAAATGTAACAATAATTATACTAATAAGCAAATTAAACAATATATTATTTTTATTGTGTTTTCAATTAGTAAAACACTATTAATTTTCATTGAATAAAAAAGTTATAGATTTTGTAATAATGAGTTCGAAGAATATACTATTATTAATAGTCTATTAATGGTCATTGTTATTGCCAGATAAAGATTCACTTTTGTATATGTATTTTTGTACAAACAGTGGGTTTAGTCATAGGAAATAACATTAAAATTGAGACATAAAAATAGTGCAAAATAGATATTTGATGTAGATTTTAATAATGAAAACACTAATTGTATGACTAAATGGTAAACATTATTGAATGAGTTTTAACGTTATTTTCAATTACTGTATTTATCCGTATAAATAAACCGGTAATACTATGTGAATTGCAGCTCAAATGTGATTGATAGAAACAAATGTGAAACAAATTATTGTTCATTGTTAGGCAGAGCATCGGGTCGTGTGATTGACTGTAGTGTTAATAAAACACAATTATTATTATTGTTAGACATTTAATACACATTACCTGTGATGTGGTTTCTCTCATCAATTGCTTCACAGACCAGTTCTCGTTGGCCACCGAAGGCTTCCTTTTGTTGCTTTTGGTGGGAGTGAAGGGTCGACTCTCCGCACACCTGCCGTCATCCGCACCCACAACAACACCCATCGCACCCAACATGTCATCTCTCGACCACCGCTGACCGCACAGAAGCTGATCCTCCAACAGATTTGCATCCATTTCACGACACGATTAGCACACAATCAATACTGAATTNGTTGTTATAATGCCTTTCGATGGAAAGTTACAATATAAGGCTTTCAGTGGAAAGTTATAATAATTAATATACATATATAAAGTAAGGGCTAATAATATGGGAAAATACAGTAAATGGGAAGTGAGTGTATGCCTTATCACTCCAATTCCCCCCGGTTAAATTGTGGTCATCCCTGACCACAGGGCGGCTCGTTGGGGTTGAGAGGCGACGACGGGTTTAGCGATACATTAGGACAGTCATGAAGAGTTACTCCTTTTTTGCGGATATCGACAGCCATTCGTACTTTTTCTTTGTCTTTATTGTTATTGCAATCCTTTCTGATGTGTTTCCCAATGTCTCCACATTTGAAACAGATATAGTCTTTATTTACCGGTCGTTCAGTGGGCCCTTTAGGACTGGTAAAGTTTGGCCATAATTAGGACAAATGTGATCTTCGTTTACGAGTTGTTTTGCACGATGTCTTCCATTCAGACCATTGATGTCATAGTCTTTAGATGTGTTCATACTTTCACGGGAAGGACAGTCCGCGCAAATGTGTCCACTCTTTGAGCAGTTGTTACAAATCGTTGACTTCTTGGAAGTACTGATTCTTTCGAAGAGTGTGTTCAGTGCTGAGAGACAGTCAGTGAAGGACTTCACGAGAGTCGTGATGTCTGAGGTCTCAACCATAGTAGAAGTGGTCATCTCTTCGTTACGTCTATTAGTTGTCATTTTCGTAGAATTCGTCCAAAAAAGTTAATAATTAATACAAATATAGTCTTTAACAATGTTGCAAAAATATCTTTCAAACAAAAATTATTATAAATTATAGTTTCAATTAGTCTTTCGGAAAGTCGTATAAATCTTATTATTGGTTTGAAAGTCTTTCCGATTCTTCGTATCAGTTATGGTGAGTCTCCAAGTCTTCGGAAGGTAACACACGGTTGGCAGTGTGTGGTCGGTGTTGGTGTTGAATCAGTTGGTGGTTATTATTTGTTGTTAAATATACTTCTTTTTGTTGTTATATACTTCTGGTTTATTATTCTATACTTTACTGTTGTTATTTTTTTTCTTATTGTTGTTGTTATCGACTCTCTGTTGTTGTAAGTCTTTCGTCCGAAACCTTTCCAATGGGTGTCCTCGCGATTATAGGTAACCATTCATCGACTGCCGCCTCCTTGCGTAGGTTTGCAGCGACTCTGGGCTAAACCTTGGTAAAAGCGTTACCTCCCAATAGGTCTGGATATCGTCCGAAAGTATAGCGACCTCTTGTCGCTCGACAAACCACTCAATTCCACAATCGCGAGTGTAAGGATGCCGTGCGTATCGGAATCTGGGCCGACGACGGGTTACCCGGTAAACGCGATGTCTCTTAAGAAGTCCGGTTGTCTTTGAATAAAGCCAACGATGTTATCGCGGCGTAGAGTCCAAGAGTTGGCAGCCGTCCACCAGTCGGATCGGGTGCGGTTGAAAGTGAGACTTCTGTTGTCGTAGGTCTCGTAGTCTTCCACCTCTTCGATGGGAATCAATATAAACGGAGACTTCCAGTCGTAGACCAGAAACCCGTGCCCTCCACCACTTGGAGTGTTAGGAATGCCCGAAGTGGGGGCAGACTTCTGGCTAAGCCTAACCTCCGAAATAAACCGACCGAAGACTGGGTTTAAAACACTTTATTGTTGTTAACTGTTATAACTCTAGGGAAAGACTGGTTAACATACATGATATGCACAGCTCTTATATAGTCCTGAAAGTGCTGATAGATAT